TCGGAGCGGAGTGGGGGCTGGTGGTTAGAGCAGGGAGGGCGGGGTGCCAGGATTCCTGGGTTCTCTCCCGGCTCTGGGAGGGGAGTGTGGGCTGGTGGGATAGAGCAGGGAGATGCTAGTGGTGGGTATGGAGGTGTGTAACCGTCTCTCTGTCTCCGCATTAGGTGGTACCGTGCCCCAGAGCTCCTGTACGGTGCCCGGAAGTATGACGAAGGGGTGGATTTGTGGTGAGCTCCCCGGCCCCTCATCCCCCCATCTTTAGTCTCCCCTCCATGCTCGAGCCCCGCTATGGCTGGACAGCCACTCGTTAGCGTGAATCCCCTCTCCCCGCTGATGTGGGGGTCCAGAACGCAGAGATCTCTGCTGGGGCCGGATTCGACTGCATACTTAATGAAGGGGTCTGGCCAAGGGAGCTTCCCTCCTTAATCCAGCCCTAGCCCTGCCCTTTTTGTCCTGCCCCATAGCCATGCTCCCCCCACATAATCATGCCGCCCAAGCCCCTTTACAGGGAGCCAGACCACAGAGCGTGGCCCTAGAGGGGGTCTCAGCCCCCACACAGCCCCTTCCCACACCTCCCAGCAGAGACGTGATAGGGCAGTTCTCACTTCTACAAGCATCCGGCTCAGGCTCTCTGCAGACTCAGGCAGCGCCCCTGTGTCCGTTACACTCAGGCAGTTCGCACTTCTGCGAGCCGTCGGCTCTTCGGGCAGGTGTCGCACTTCGACGCTTCTCTCCCCAGGCGGGAGTCCCGGGAACTCCTGTTATATTTTTATCCTGAAGGTCCAGCGTGTCTCGTGTGTACGTGTGTGTGTGTGGGGCCCACGACTGAGCCCTAAATGATCTCCCCCACCCCCCTTGCTGCCCGGAGGCACCTCAGGACGGTGAGGATGGCCCCGCGGACCCCGGGGACACAGTGGGATAGGGGTCAGTCATGGAGAGTCATGCCTGGGGTTCCATAGACCCCCACACACACCAGCCTGCTCCCCCTTTTCTGCATCCGCTTCAGGGCTGTGGGCTGCATTTTTGCTGAGCTGCTGAACAACTCGCCCCTCTTCCCCGGGGAGAATGACATCGAGCAGCTCTGCTGTGTACTCCGGGTGCTGGGGACCCCCAGCCCGCGCGTCTGGCCGGTGAGTGGGGCCGGGGTTCTCTTCCAGCTCTGGGGCTAGTGGGTAGAGCAGGGGGGCTGGGAGACAGGACTCCTGGGTTCTCTCCCCTGCTCTGGGAGGGGGTGGGGGCTGGTGGTTAGAGCAGGGGGGGCTGGGAGCCAGGACTCCTGGGTTCTCTCCCCTGCTCTGGGAGGGGAGTGGGGGCTGGTGGTTAGAGCAGGGGGGGATGGACTGGGGAGCC